ATACATCACTGTAACTAGATATAGTGACAGTACAAGGTGTTTGTAGAGTCTTCGTCGGTTAATATATCACTGTAACTAGATATAGTGACTGTATAAGGTGTTTGTAGAGTCATTGTCAGTTAATACATCACTGTATCTAGATATAGTGACTGTATAAGGTATTTGTAGAGTTATCGTTTGTTAATACATCACTGTATCTAGATATAGTGACAGTACAAGGTGCTTGTAGAGCCTTCGTCGGTTAATACATCACTGTAAGTAGATATAGTGACTTTACAAGGTGTTTGTAGAGCCTTCTTCGGTTAATACATCACTGTATCTAGATATAGTGACTGTACAAGGTGTTTGTAGAGTTATCGTCGGTTAATACATCACTGTAACTAGATATAGTGACGGTACAAGGTGTTTGTAGAGTCTTTGTCGGTTAATACATCACTGTAACTAGATATAGTGACTGTACAAGGTTTTTGTAGAGTCTTCGTCGGTTAATACATCACTGTATCTAGATATAGTGACTGTACAAGGTGTTTGTAGAGTCATTGTCAGTTAATATATCACTGTAACTAGATATAGTGACTGAACAAGGTGTTTGTAGAGTCTGCGTCGGTTAATACATCACTGTAACTAGATATAGTGACAGTATAAGGTGTTTGTAGAGTCTTCGTCGGTTAATACATCACTGTAACTAGGTATAGTGACAGTACAAGGTGTTTGTAGAGTCTTCGTCGGTTAATACATCACTGTAACTATATATAGTGACAGTGCAAGGTGTTTGAAGTCTTAGTCGGTTAATACATCACTGTAACTAGATATAGTGACGGTACAAGGTGTTTGTAGAGTCTTTGTCGGTTAATACATCACTGTAACTAGATATAGTGACTGTACAAGGTGTTTGTAGAGTCTTCGTCGGTTAATACATCACTGTATCTAGATATAGTGACTGTACAAGGTGTTTGTAGAGTCATTGTCAGTTAATATATCACTGTAACTAGATATAGTGACTGTACAAGGTGTTTGTAGAGTTATCGTCGGTTAATACATCACTGTATCTAAATATAGTGACTGTACAAGGTGTTTGTAGAGCCTTTCGTCAGTTAAAACATCACTGTAACTATATATAGTGATAGTACAAGGTGTTTGTAGAGTTATTGTCGGTTAATACATCACTGTACCTAGATATAGTGACAGTGCAAGGTGTTTGTAGAGTCTTCGTCTGTTAATGCATCACTGTAACTAGATATAGTGACTGTATAAGGTGTTTGTAGAGTTATTGTTGGTTAATACATCACTGTAACTAGATATAGTGACAGTGCAAGGTGTTTGTAGAGTCTTCGTCTGTTAATGCATCACTGTAACTAGATATAGTGACTGTATAAGGTGTTTGTAGAGTTATTGTTGGTTAATACATCACTGTAACTAGATATAGTGACAGTACAAGGTGTTTGTAGAGTCTTTGTCGGTTAATACATCACTGTAACTAGATATAGTGACTGTACAAGGTGTTTGTAGTCTCTTCGTCTGTTAATACATCACTGTATCTAGATATAGTGACGGTACAAGGTGTTTGTAGAGTTATCGTCGGTTAATACATCACTGTATCTAGATATAGTGACTGTATAAGGTGTTTGTAGAGTTATTGTCGGTTAATACATCACTGTAACTAGATATAGTGACAGTGCAAGGTGTTTGTAGAGTCTTCGTCGGTTAATACATCACTGTAACTAGATATAGTGACTGTACAAGGTGTTTGTAGAGTCTTCGTCTGTTAATACATCACTGTATCTAGATATATTGACTGTACAAGGTGTTTGTAGAGTTATCGTCGGTTAATACATCACTGTATCTAGATATAGTGACTGTATAAGGTGTTTGTAGAGTTATTGTCGGTTAATACATCACTGTAACTAGATATAGTGACAGTGCAAGGTGTTTGTAGAGTCTTCGTCGGTTAATACATCACTGTAACTAGATATAGTGACAGTACAAGGTGTTTGTAGAGTCTTCGTCGGTTAATATATCACTGTAACTAGATATAGTGACTGTATAAGGTGTTTGTAGAGTCATTGTCAGTTAATACATCACTGTATCTAGATATAGTGACTGTATAAGGTATTTGTAGAGTTATCGTTTGTTAATACATCACTGTATCTAGATATAGTGACAGTACAAGGTGCTTGTAGAGCCTTCGTCGGTTAATACATCACTGTAAGTAGATATAGTGACTTTACAAGGTGTTTGTAGAGCCTTCTTCGGTTAATACATCACTGTATCTAGATATAGTGACTGTACAAGGTGTTTGTAGAGTTATCGTCGGTTAATACATCACTGTAACTAGATATAGTGACGGTACAAGGTGTTTGTAGAGTCTTTGTCGGTTAATACATCACTGTAACTAGATATAGTGACTGTACAAGGTTTTTGTAGAGTCTTCGTCGGTTAATACATCACTGTATCTAGATATAGTGACTGTACAAGGTGTTTGTAGAGTCATTGTCAGTTAATATATCACTGTAACTAGATATAGTGACTGAACAAGGTGTTTGTAGAGTCTGCGTCGGTTAATACATCACTGTAACTAGATATAGTGACAGTATAAGGTGTTTGTAGAGTCTTCGTCGGTTAATACATCACTGTAACTAGGTATAGTGACAGTACAAGGTGTTTGTAGAGTCTTCGTCGGTTAATACATCACTGTAACTATATATAGTGACAGTGCAAGGTGTTTGAAGTCTTAGTCGGTTAATACATCACTGTAACTAGATATAGTGACGGTACAAGGTGTTTGTAGAGTCTTTGTCGGTTAATACATCACTGTAACTAGATATAGTGACTGTACAAGGTGTTTGTAGAGTCTTCGTCGGTTAATACATCACTGTATCTAGATATAGTGACTGTACAAGGTGTTTGTAGAGTCATTGTCAGTTAATATATCACTGTAACTAGATATAGTGACTGTACAAGGTGTTTGTAGAGTCTGTGTCGGTTAATACATCACTGTAACTAGATATAGTGACTGTACAAGGTGTTTGTAGAGTCATCGTCACTTAATACATCACTGTAACTAGATATAGTGACTGTACAAGGTGTTTGCAGAGTCTTCGTCGGTTAATACATCACTGTAACTAGATATAGTGACAGTACAAAGTGTCAATGAAGTCTGTAGATTTGGGAAATGCTACTGACAATTTATCATTAACTTTCATTTTCTTTTTACTGTGGCCATTTCAATAAATGTGACTCCACTTCCTGTTAACCTTTCTGTAAACCCACATTCAGGATTGAACACTTGGTGTTCTTAATCCTATTTATATGTATACTTTGTTTTTCTCTGACTGTGTATGCATATGACGTCTTTACACTAGATCCATTGGATGTGTCATCCCTGACATTATGTCTGGGAAACATGATTTATTTATTTGTTGTAATTGGCTATGAACTAGCTTTCAGTAACAGCCAGCTTAGATCAGTACTTTGTCTTTAGGTTATTTTCCATAAGTTTTGGCAAATAATTTAATAATTTGGCTATACCTTAAGTCCTTTTTGGTTTGATCAACACTTCAGCATTTGCATTAGGTTTTGGAATTACTAATATTTTAACCATAATTATATAAGCATCACTGAAGAAACATTAATTGTCGAAATGTGCATCTGGTGTAGTAAAACTGGTACTGTTTATGTTAGTGTGACTTAAAAATTAAACAAATGTTGTTTTCTGTTTGAATTTCATTATTGGGGATAATTTTAACTGAAAATGGAAACTGCAGATTCAAATGCAGCAAGAAATCAAAGCATTATATTCATTAAATTATAACAGTGATTGATTGATTGTTGGTGTTAAATGTCACGCTCAGCACTCTTTGCTATATTGTGGCAGTATTTTTTATTGGTTGAATGCCTGGAGAGAACCACTGACCTTTGGCAGGAAAACTAAACTCCTAATCAATTAAGATCAGAGTTGAATGCACCTTGCCATGATGAGCATTTTTATTATAAATAAAGAATTTCTATGGGCCTAGTGAATATAAAAATAAGATGAATTAAGGCAGTAAATATCTCCTTTTTGTGAGAGCAACATAATTTTTACTTGTAATGGCCTACTTCATTCAACAGGAGAATAATTCAGCTAAATATAACTTTATTCATAAACATTTTGTTTATCATTCAAATTGTATATTCTACCCCAAAAATTAAAAAATCATTAACTAATGAAAAATAACTGGATGTTGGTTTTAATATGTAAATACTTCCAAAACTGATGTATACTTATATATGTAATTTATTTCATTGTTGATTGCATGAATTGTTTCATTTAAATCTACATATTTTTCAATAAATCTTAATCATGAACATGATATGGTTAATATTTTTTAAACGTATAAAAACAGAACGTTTACAATGTTGGCTTGCCAAAAAGGTGTATACAATACTATATCAAAACCAAAGGGAATTGAAAATCAAAGACGTGAATCTACAAATTGCACAGTGAACAAATATAAAATTTTAAATTTAATAAATATACATATAGTAAATAAATAAACAACAGTATCACAGATCTCTCCATAACAATACAAAATTTACTTTCAAAGTAAATATATTCACTGATAATCATGGAAGGTTAAACAAAGACATTCTGACAACAGATTGCAAAACAATAGTTACTTCCCTTTAGTTTAACTAAAATTTTGTCCATTAGACATTACAAGTTTATATCATCCAGCTTGAGATTTTTTTTTAATTGGACAACTACTTCACACCCATGAGTTGCCACCACCAAAATATATTTATTAGATATAAAAAATTAGATGAAGGTTAAATCCATTTCCCTTGAAAAAAAACTTGAGAGTGAGTAAAGTTTCAACATGTTAGAGCAAACAATTCACATAAATATTTAAAAATTAGAGACTTGGTATTTGGCTTAACTACAGGTATATAATCAGTATCAATAGATTTACCGGTAAATGGCACTTAAATAGGTCCAGCATATAGTTAAAGGTCAAAACATCACAACATCATAATTATATCAAATTACAATTTATTTTCATGATTTAAGATGTCTGATTAAGCTATTAAGTTGAAAATGCAATTTACTGTACTCACAAAAAATTGGCAGTGAATTTTTCTATTAAAATATAAACCACCAAAAAATTTATTATTTAAGTATGTGTACAAACTACTTCTATTGATAGACTTACACAGCATAAAAAGTGGAATAATTGTAAACAGTCAAATTTGCTTGTTTGAAATTTCATCAAGATACATATTTGTTCTGAACATTTTCTTCTTTTAACATAACTATGTCTGTAATTCCCATTAGTGTTTTTCAGTGGACTAGGCGTTATTCCAAGTATACAACTACTAATTTTAAAAAGTCTATGCCTGTACTGGAGGCTCACATGATTTAGGAGAAGGCCAGTTAATAGGAGTTCTTGATGACAGCACTGGCATATCTGGTTCATAAGTTCCAGCTACTGCACAATTCGTTGTGGCCAGGTATTGTGGACTTCTTCTTGATCCTGCAGACCTAGGTGGTGACTGTGGGTGAGGCCAGTTAAGTGTAGGAGTAGGTGGTTTGGACCGATATTGAGGAGTCATTGGTTTGGATCCTATTGGTGGCATCTTTGGACTTGTGGATATTGGCTCTGGATTTCTAGCACCTGATCTACCTCCTGAGCCATTCAAAAGAGTTTCAAATGGTCCAGGGCCTATACCAGCATCAGCTTTAGTATCTTCCTTTACACGTAACGGGTCTGGAACCTGCAAATCAAATAGAAGTAAATCATATATGAGGTATATCAAATTGATGGCAGATGTTTCAATGAATTTTATGTTGTTGGCAGATATTCTATATGTATAGTCTTAATTAATTTAATGCACAACTCTTTCTCAGATTTGGGGCACTTTAGATCTTGACATTGTATAGACTCCTATCTATTGTTGAAAAATGACCTCTAGATGTCTTTTTGTTTTTTGTGTTGCTGTTTCATTGGCACATACCAATTTACATGACATGTACTTTTTATTTAAACTAGATATGGACAATGCCCCCCCCCCCCCTTTCTGCTCTGCCATATGCAAGACAAGACAAGACAATTTATTACAACTTAGGCACGTATGGTGCTACATGAGTATAGTTCCACATATTTTAGATTTGACAAACAGTGATGTTGGATACAACCTGAAATTGTTATGCTGTCTGTAAGACACAAATGATGACCCTGTCTGACCATAGGAAATTATAGATTTAACACTATGTATGATGATGTAACTTTAGAAGGAGATAGCCAGACAAACCATGATCTCTTTATGCAGCTTGTACCAAAAAATGACTAAGTCCAACTACCTGTCATTCTCAGAATATTTGAAAAAATCTAAATCCTGTGGACATGCACACCTTCATTATGTGTATGAACATCCTAAAAAATATTAAAGCTGTACCTCCAAAACTGTAGGAGGAGATAGCTGGACAAACAATGTATCCTAATCCGGACGGACGGATGATGGACAGGGGTAAATTAATATGTAATTATACTAGAAATTTTTATGAGCCCTTGATACTTGGTGGGAATTTCAAGACTGGTTGTTGTCCTTGTCATTTTAATTCTGTTAGGGATTACAAATAATATTATAAAAATAGCTTTTGTCTAATAAGGTGCAAATACCTTTGTATGAGAAGAACATGCCTGTTAATTATCTATGCATTCAGTAATCTTAAAAGATATTGTTTAAAAAACTGTCTTGATAATTTGGTCTATAACCTGTTAACCATGAACAACTACATTTTTGACTTCAAGTTTTGCCTTCTCCATATATTATAATATTATATTATGTGTATTTTATCCTGTATTAAACCATTTTTTGGGGGATTTTAATCGTTCCTTTTTTTAAATCTCAGTCCAATAAACATTAAACAGCTGCGCCATGAGCACATGATATGCCCGTTGTCTTGTGTGTGAATTGTTATTCAATAATCATAAATAGTTTCTGACATACGGCCTGACATGCGAAAACCCCCTTTTTTTTACAAAAAACTCAATATCTCTAAAATAAAGTTTTGAATCAAAACCAAAAAGTATACAGATCTTTAGATTTATATAACTAAGAAGTGTGTAAAATTTTAAGCAATAATCATAAACCGTTTTTGAGATACGGCGCGACATGTGAAAACCCCCCTTTAAAAAATAAAAAAAATCAATATCTCAAAAATAAACTTTTGAATCAAAACCAAAAAGTATACAGATCTTAAGATTAATATAACTAAGAAGTGTGTAAAATTTTAAGCAATAATCATAAATCGTTTTTGAGATACGGCGCAACATGTGAAAAACCCCTCCCCCTTTTTTTACAAAATACTCAATAACTCAAAAATTAAATTTTGAATCATCACCAAAAAGTATACAGATCTTAAGATTAATATAACTAAGAAGTGTGTAAAGTTTTAAGCAATAATCATAAACTGTTTTGAGATACGGCGCGACATGTGGAATACCCCTCCCCTTTTTTAACAAAATACTCAATATCTCTAAAATAAAATTTTGAATCATCACCAAAAAGAATACAGATCTTAAGATTAATATAACTAAGTAGTGTGTAAAGTTTTAAGCAATAATCATAAATTGTTTTTGAGATACGGCGCGACATGTGAAAAAAAACACACACCTGTTTTAGTTACTAAGTCCCGTAACTCAAAAAGTTTTAATCTTATTTTCACCAAAAAGTATACAGATCGTTTGACCATCATAAGAAACAACTATATTAAGTTTCAGAAAATTTGGATAAGTCGTTCTGATGTTACAGTGCGACATGTTTACGCCGGACAGACAGACAGACAGACGGACAGATGGACGGACACTGGACATTTGTACACCATAATATGTCCCGTCAAAAATTGACTGGCGTATAAAAATTTCATTTAATCTAAAATATTCAGTTGCATATATCCCGAACATTACTGTTACTAATTTACCTTGCATCTCTTTAATTTCCCTCTGAGGATAATATCACCATCTGTTTTAGATCTCAGTAAACTTTCTACTGCATGTCCAGACCTAGCTGTGGGGTTTGTGTTACCTGTGGACAAATGTTGAAAAATACAAGTTAAAATTATTTATTGCTAAACTATAAACTGAAAATTATAAAAAGAGAATTCAGGTGTAACATATTCAATAGCCTAGCTTCTTTTATATGCTGCATAAGGCTTAAATTTGTTTATTTTTCCTAAAATAAGCAATTGATGTAACTTTGATGGATTAGAATTCTTAATCTTTAATAAATGTAACACAAATACACTCATGATCTTAAAGGGGCACTAGCTATGAGATATATATAAAAAATCTAAAATATGATTTATTTTGTTCAACCATTAATCAAAGTGAAATAGTGAAATAATAGTTTGCTTTTAGCAGCCAGTATGGTTCAATTTTGTCAAAATAAGCTAAGAAACATTGATGATAAATTATTCACTTGCAAGTGAATAATTCGACCTCATTGAATCCGTATTCATGTGAACTTCAATTGAACCCCTTAGCTAGAGATGGATGACGCATTAATTGTGCATGTGTTGTTAATTAAAGGAAAAGAATGTAAACATTGAAAGTGAAACAAAAGTAAATCATTTGATTGACTGATTCGATCCACAAAAACTAATTCTTATACAGGTTTAACGATGATTAACATATATTTTTAATCTATAATATGGAATTAAACCGACCTAGAAAAATTATTATTTGGATAAATGTTTTACATTGTTATGAATCAAATATGAGAATTTGAGTCAAATCGATGAACATGAATTTGACAGCTTGTGCCCCTTTAAATCTTGTCACCTCAATGTACTTAAGTTGACTGGACTATTCATGAACATTTTATGGATATATTCTTTACCTATGTAAAGAATTGATTTGAACTCAATTATCTCTGCATATTGTCAATTGTTGTTCATTACGCTTTAAGTTGATTTAAAATGCCTTAGTAATAATTCTTTCTTTTCACTTCTTTTTTAACAGTCCTTAAATAAAAATCCAATATACAAATCAGTTCAGTGATTAATAATTTATTAATAACTCTTTTAATCTGTAATGTGTATGTTTTGGACCATATGAGTATTTGGACCATATGGGTATACACTCATATGGTCCGACCATACGGGTATGGTCCGACCGTACGCGTATGGTCGGGTTAATTAACACACACGAAATTTGAGATCTTTAGCTTCTTAAAAACACCGTAAACACATCGGAATGGCCCAAGACCTATGGTACCGTGTGGAAGTAAATTTTACCATAAGCATACATGCAACTTACTGTGGCATCAATATTTAATTTTTATGTAGCCTTTGAATTATAGAATAATACATTTTCATGTAACCATCATTGTTTTTTAGGATAAAGTTTATTGTATTATTGAAACGTTTGTAATGCATATTTGAAAAAATACCTATATGGTCCAAATACTCATATGGTCCGGCCCGTTAATAACCAAACGAGTATATACTCATATGGTCCGACCATATGTGTATGGTCGGACCATATGAGTATATGCATATGGTCATGACCATACATGTATGGTCCAAATACTCATATGGTCAGGAACATGTACATATTTGATAAAAATATTTCTAAGTCTGTTCACAAATTAGTCATGAAGGCAAGCTTTTATTATCATCTAACTAATTAAAACTTTCTTCTTACCTGGAATTTTCAGTGGCATATCCCAGGTTCCTACAAAAGTTCCCCATGGTGAGTCTCTCGATCTTTTGACACCTGGGATCAAATGTCCTCTGTTGTTAGCAACTATCTGGGTAAAGCCATCAAATGCCCTTGGTCTCTGTAAAAATAAAAAATAAAATTAACAGAAAATTCAACACTTAGGTTACAATCAAAATAAACATTATATATACATTTTTTTAATTAGGAAAATAAGATTACTGAAATAAGCTTAAACAAGAAGAAAATTCCATAAGTCTTACTGATTCCTTAGTTTTCATCATACAATATTACATGTGTGAGGACAAGAGAAAGCTTTCACAATACTTTATCATAAAATATACATTAACTTTAGAAATATCAGGGGATGTGGATTTTAAATTTTAACAACCGAAACCATTCACTGTGACTTTTCAAGTGTAACTACCTAAATATGAAGTTATAATATGAATTATGTTAGGTCAGTGGTATGTTAATGTGTTCAAAATAATATACAATCTATTAATTATATTCAGATCATAATAGAAAACTTAAATATAGAGAGAGCGTTCTTTTTGGTAAATAAATGCTAACTCCCTGTGATATAATTAATTCACATAAATGTAAATATAAGTAAATATACCGGTAAGTCCACAAAGGTCATTATTGTTGAAACATACAATACTAGGGACAATAACACATTAAAATTTCTAAATAAGTCTTTTATTAAAACTTCACTTTAGTTAAAATACTTCTTTATTTAAACTGTAAAATATTAAGTTTAAAAAATAAATTATCACCATGTGTACAAGCTTAACATATAATAAAGTGTAAGAGTTTTGTGGTGAATAATATAAATGTTAGTCTGAAACATTGACAAGTGTTGTTTTTGCAGCTTCTAAAGATTTTATCATATACATTTTAACCATATAAACAATTACAAAGCCCTTACAAGTACAAAGAATTCTTTAATAATATCCTTTCTAAAATGTCAATATTACATGTATTACCTCTCTATATTCTCTTGCCACTTGCCAGTTCTGTAACTTCACAGGATAAAATGCGTTATTATACTGAAAAAGAGTAATTCTAAAATCATTGTGTGATGCTCCTGTGAAAGTGCCTTAAAATCTGAAGTTTCTATTTAGTATTGTTTTTTTTGAAAGTTCTATATGAACATTTATGGTTGAAATGCAATTACAACATGAAGTTTTACTCAATATTCTTCAATTTTTAAACTGCAAACATCAGATCATTTCAATATGAAGTGCATTTCAAAGAGAGTTAATTTGCAAGTTTCTGACCAAAATGGAAAATTATACAATTTACCCTTTAATATAGAAATGTTTCTTTTACATGTTCTCGTAAAAATAAGGATTTAGGATTAATTTTAAGTATAGCTCAAAATGGTTGTGACCCCTAAAGTAAAAGAAGACAATTAATATTGCAACCAATATTTTCTTTGAGAATTTGTACACTGTTTTGTACGTATTATGATGCGTAGTCAGTACATTGTAATTTCATTCATCCTGCATGTCTATTCATTTAATGTTATGCTAACAAAATTAATGGACATATGTAAATTTTATACTAAATAAGTCTTTTTATTTAACTTCACTTTAGTTAAAATACTTCTTTAATTAAAATTTAAAGTTTAAAAAATGAATTATTACTACAAGCTACACAATGTGTAAAAGTTTTGTGGTGGATCATATAAAAGTTATATTAGTCTGAAACATTGACTTTAGGGACAAACAAATTAATCTGACATAAAGGTATCTTCCACTGGTCATTCACCATGTCATAAAAGAATATCATAGGTGTTCGTTGGAATTTTAACACCACAAAAGTAAATATTAAAGATGACAATTGCAAGAGAGACCATTACATACATGTATGATGCCAAAAGGTCAACTGTCGTAAAAATCTTGGTTATGTAAACTTTACTTCTGAGATAGTCTGATTTCATTTGACACACAAGAGTTGTGTGATGATGTCAATAATCTATGCAGTGATGGGATTAATGCAACATCACCTACATTGTACATTGAAAAATCAAAATGTGGGCGATGTCACCATACAGTAGGTTTTCATCATGCAGGGAGATGGGGTCAAACTATAGTGTTTCTTTAGGTTTTGGTGTGGTATGGCATCCCATGCTTTTTTGACACAACGCTCCTTATCCATCATATTTTATTTTGCCCAATCATAATTTAAGATCAGTTCTGCAATTAAGACCATTTTGAGAAATTTCCATTTGGACGTAATAAAAATTTTAATGGCCGTCATTTAATTGAATTTCTTTATTGTCAATGATTGTGTTTGAACATTTTTGAAGCGACTGAGTACAAATATGGTTCATGATTAAATCTTACACTTTTAGGACAACGTCGACTATACCTCAGTGAATTTAAATGTAGGCATTTAAAAAGGAAACCAGGCAATCATTTGAGTTATAATTTTACCATGCAGGGGACAAACATTACGTAAACAATCAGCTTTTTGTTTAAATTATTTTGCAATAACTAGGCTGAATTACTTTTTAATTCTTCATTACTCTTGTAAATTAAAACATAAATCTTTCATGAATAATAGTATTAATACTACTTTGTAATTAAATATCTTGAAAAAGCTATTTTTTACTCTTTTTATCCACACACAAGTTCAAACATTAACAGCGCACAATGGTTTGAGGTTAATGTGAAGCTGTCAACATCATTTTATGGATGACTGCTGCTGATAAAAGTTTCTTTGTATGTAAACAATGGGACACTGTTTCTCTTCATTTAAAAGAATTTCATAAATACACTGTAGTTTTTGTTGTGCAAAACAGCTAAATTTATTGAATAATCTTGATATTTATGCTATGCTACAAAAACATGCATTTTAAAGATATTTATTTAAACTTCATAACATAAGCATCACCTGCAGTCAATTGACATGCTTGAGTTTACAGTGACGGGTTAAAATTTGTATTTATTTAGCTGACAATACAAACCTGGTTTGCACTAAAGTGTAAAGACATCACTGAGGATTATTCTTATAAATATACAGCAGTTTAATGAGAGGCTTAACGCCTTTTTATCAGCTTTAGATATGCCTTATCTTGTTGGATTCTTTCACTCGATGATGTTCGCCATAACAATACAATATCGTTGCCCGTAGAAACGGGTTCAGAAAGTATGAGGAAAAAATAAGATTTATATAAAATAACAATGAATAAATTAGTAAAGCAGCATATAGACCCTACATTTGAAGAAAAATACTTATTTTTACTTTTAAAGATAACATTTACCCCGTTAATAGCGGATATAGTTCGCACTGAATAAAAGCTATTTGTATTTCCGGTCAAAGCTGCCGGTGACTTTTGTGCCAATATTTAACAGTAAATAAGTGAAAATGACGTTATTCCACTTTGGGAATTGTTTAGCACTTGCTTATGTGCCATATATGATTGTTTACAAGTTTTCAGGATTGTAAGTAAACGTATCACAACCCAACACACAACTGATTTTTTTTTGGCAAATGTATGTGTAACGGGATATTGTAGAAAATATCCTGCATTATTTATGGTGAAAAAGTAAATGAATGACTGAAACGTATCCGATGCAGGGCCATAACTACATTGAGGGAAATGCCTTATGTTTGGAAATTTAAAAAAAAAAATTATTTGAAACAAAAAGCTTGTCTTCATATCAAATTGTTTTCACAGCAAGTTCTGTTCACCCTCTGACGTCGCCCCTGTTTTTTTGTGATCCATGTTTCTCATTTATTTTTAATTTTCAGTGTTGATTGTCTATAATTTGTTGTTATGTGTCTTATCTGTTCACAGGTTTGTCTTTTGTTCATTGATAGCCCTTCTTTGTGATGTCTTAGCGTTGAATTTCATTTGTAAATTAGTAATTTTGTTTTAAACTTGAGTTTTATTATATTTGAGGACCTTTCGTCTAATTTTAAAAACTGATTTAAATTGTAAAAATATGTATCGGTTAGTCAGTTACAGTGTAGTTTATGAAACATTGATAATAAAAAAATAAAAAATATTGAAATAGCATAGTTGAAGTGGTTGTTAATGACGCTTTTTATGATTGAATCAATGTTTATATTAAACTGAATGAAAATACATTATTAATATTAAATAATTACATCATCACACACAGTTAATGAGTATAAAAAAAGTATTTTTGTCTATATATAAGAACATTTTTTTACTCAGGTAAATTAATCAATGAGTGATAGATTTCTCTTAGAAGAAATTTAAAGGTCCCAGTGAATAAACTACACAGAGAAAAATAGCTATTGTTTTCATTCAATAAGACAGGTGAACTTACAAAAGTTTAAATACCTGGTCAAGATAGAGATGGCACTGTGGAAAACTTTCATTGGGTTCGCAATAATGTTATTGGTGAATGTTTAATTTACTTATCCTTATACTTTTCCGTTATCTGGTATACAATTCTTTGCAAAATTATATGTTCATGATGTTCACAAGTTCATTAGCAGTCAAATTTTGCAGAATATTGTACCCTCCTTTATCATATTTTACAAAAAAAATCATGTACAATGAAAATTGAACCCCATGAGTGCTATTTTTATAATTGATATTTAATGATTAAAGTAATGTAACAAATGAAATGAGTTATTAATTAGATTTAATAAATTAAGCACCTTGGTCAAAATGCACAATTTATTTCAGGTACATGTAGAGAGAAATAGTAGCCTTTTCTTTAATTCCTCTGTCATGTCTGAAACTTGGACATGTACATTTATGTGCATGTACATGTATGATGGCTTGGTCAAACTTCAAAGCTAAGACATTTTCACATGTGTGGTTAAATTTTCCAAGTACAAAGTGTGATTCAATTTTCCATAATTTTTTTCTGAAACACATTGTGTAATGCCCATTCAGGTTTCATTATGGAAAAATTAATGATAATATTCTGGAAAATGTACACTCAAAAATTTTCTCAAAACATGTACAGGTATGATTGAAATTTGAACATGCTGAGGGGGGAGGGTTGGGATCCCACTAACATGTTTAACCATGCCACATTCTGTATGTATGTGCCTGTCCCAAGTCAGTAGCATGTACTTCAGTGGTTGTTGTTTGTTTATGTGTTACATATTTGTTTTTCGTTCATTTTTTGTACATAACATGCATAAATTAGACCGTTAGTTTTCTCGTTTGAATTGTTTTACATTGTCATTTCAGGGCCTTTTATAGCTGACTGTGCAGTATGGGCTTTGCTCATTGTTGAAGGCTGTATGGTGACCTATAGTTGTTAGTTTCTATGTCATTTGGTGTCTTGTGGAGAGTTGTCTCATTGGCAATCATACCACATCTTCTTTTTTATATGAACAAAATAATTATTGAAACAGTAAAGCATCCTCCATTTTGACATTGAAATATTTATCTTCATGTGGATATATAATAGCAAAAGAATCCAAAATGCTTTTTTTTGTACACAATTTAACATGTCTATTTTATGTCCTTTTTAGAGCAGAGTATGGAGCATTTTGGAAGTGTGTGCAGGCTGGAGGAGCCTACATGTTTACACAATTATGTAAGATGTTAGTTTTGGCCACATTTTTCCCAGCCACAGAAGTATCTACTGGCTTGGACGTTGTTGGAGTAAGTATTACATTGATATATGTATTAATATTCCAGCATGTTGTTTGAATTATGTAATACAACCACAAAAGTATTGACATACTAGGATATTGTTTGAGTAAGTATTAAAATGCATGTCACAGAAGTATAAAATGCATTTACAGGCTTGTTGGGACCTGACTTATACAAAGCACAAATTAGGGTTTAGTACTTATTGCTTGATACAAAGCACAAATTAGGGTTTAGTACTTATTGCTTTATACAAAGCACAAATTAGGGTTTAGCACTTATTACTGTCAAAGAATTTTATTTTGTTATGGAGGAAACTAAATATTTTGGATTTTATGGTTCCCTCTGCATGCTCTAATAACAAAATTTGTACCTAACCAAATACCTATTTTCCATTAAGTTGTAATGTTTTTATCATAAAACCACAAAATTTGATAGCTACATAAAATAGTAAGTACTATAACAGTATGTTCCCTTTCTCTGAAGGAAAGGAAACACTTGTTTCTCTAATTCTATATAGTGATTTATAGAAAATGAAAGGATATGGTGTAAATGAACATTGGACAAAATCGCACACAATACATAGTATGAATAAAAAATTTATACCCAGATGATTATTTATTTATAGTCAGCATGTAGTTTGCTTGATATCTCAGTTCTTCATTGGTCAAAATTCAGTGATGATATCAAATGTTCTTGCTTTTCTCTGAATTTGCTATTACTTTGTCACTTAAAAATGCAACCATGCCTTTTTGACATCACAAGATAGAACATATCTTTATCATGTTTTATATGCAGATCATTGAAAAAGAAAGGAAAAGTTTGCTGGCGTTTTATTCAAAATTCATTAGGCAAACAGGCCCCTCAAAATATCTCTCCATGCTTGGCAAGCATTGCTTTTTAAATTTGATCATTTTACAGTCTTGAGTGAAGAATTAAGATGTCAAACTTGAAGCAGTGGGAGAATCTATATTTACCTTTCTCAGACCATCTAACAAACATTTTCGTCTTATAATTATTTACCTGAAAACCTACAGATTATCCACCTGAAAACCTACACATTGTCAATGCATTATTTGTGAAGTTTTTTTTTAATTTTCATATTTAAGACTATGTCCTCTGCAAAATGTTTGTTGCAATTTCTAAGCGACTAAAAAACAAGTCATTTTTATCATGTTTATGGTATGTACCAAGCTTTATTTTAATAAATTGTACAGTAAAACACAATCATCAATTCCACAATATTCACATGATATTGTATTATAAATCTTGTATGAGGTGATATCTTTATCATCTTTATTGTTATCTTATCTCTTTGTGAAATGTCTTCGAAATCTGAATATTTTTTTCCCTAGGAATTCATGAAGTCGACAGTAGATTTTGCAGACTTAGTAGGAATATATTTTGTAATGTCTAAGATAGCAGGAAAAGGACAGCTTAAATTTATGGTGGCTGGTTTAGGGTGGGCAACAGCAGAACTCTTAGTTACAAGGTAATAAAAATGGCAGGTTTAGTTTGGGCAACAGCAGAACTCTTAGTGACAAGGTAATAAGAATGGCAGGTTTAGTTTGGGCAACAGCAGAACTCTTAGTTACAAGGTAATAAGAATGGCAGGTTTAGTTTGGGCAACAGCAATACTCTTAGTTTAACAATATACTATTAAATGTAATAAGAAAGGCAGGTTTAGGTTGGGCAACGGTAGAACTCTTAATTACAAGATAAAAAGAATGGCAGGATTAGGTTGGGTTATAGTAGAACTCTCACAAGATAATAAAAAAGGCAGGTTTAGATTAGTCAACAGCAGAACTTGTTACAAGATAAGAAAGGGTTTGGTAGGTTGGGCAACTGCAGAACTCTTAGTTACAAGGTAATAAGAAAGGCAGTTTTAGGTTGGGCAATGTTAGAACTCTTTAGTTACAAGGTTATAAGAAAGGGTTTGGGTTGTGTATTGACAAAACTCTTAGTTACATGGGAATAAGAAAGGTAGGTTTACGTTGGGCAACGGCAGAACTCTTCATTACAAGGTAATAAGAAAGGCAGGTTTAGGTTGGGCAATGTTAGAACTCTTAGTTACAAGGTAATAAGAAAGGTAGGTTAAGGTTGTGCAATGTCAGAACTCTTAGTTACAAGGTAATAAGAAAGGTAGGTTTACGTTGGGCAACGGCAGAACTCTTAGTTACAAGGTAATTAGAAGGGCAGGTTAAGGTTGTGCAATGTCAGAACTCTTAGTTACATGGTGATAAGAAAGGTAGGTTTAGATTTGGCAATGGCAGAACTCTTAGTTACATTGTAATAAGAAAGGCAGGTTTAGGTTGGACAATGTCAGAACTCTTATAAGTTTCATTGTAATAAGAAAGGCAGGTTTAGGTTGGGCAATTTCAGAACTCTTAGTTACATTGTAATAAGAAAGGCAGGTCAAGGTTGGGCAATGTCAGAACTCTTAGCTACAAGGTAATAAGAAAACCATACGTTACATGTAACGCTTGAAAAGCAGGTGTTAACACACAAGTTGAAAACATAAAATTTCTTAGTTATGAAATTGACAATGATGCATGTTTCAAGTTATTCTTTTTTCAATCCAAAAGTTGCAAAAAGTTGAAATATATATTATCCTTTTCAATGTAGTCCTACATTTAAATTTTTGTAAATCCCCTGCAGACAAAGATGTTGTTTGTATAGGAATTACCCTGTCTGTCTGTCTGTCTGTCTGTCTGTCTGTCTGTCTGTCTGTCTGTCATATGTGTCTTGTTAGCACAACTCATCTTTAACAGATAGACAGATATAGATGAATTTTAACACACTTGTAGAACACTACCTGATGTGCTGAAAGGAATATGATCTTGTTCCAACATGTTAAAGGGAAGATAATAAATAATCCTGGCCCAACATGTTAAAGGGGAGATAATAAGAATCGTATTATGCCCTCTGTAATTATTTTTGATGTCATCCTTATTGTTTTTTTCTTAAAAGATTTATTGGCATATTTCATCTTGTTTGTCACATTTAAAAAAAAAGTTATTACTTTATAAAATATGTTTCAGATTATTGCCTTTATGGGTTGGTGCCAGAGGAGTAGAATTTGATTGGAAATATATACAGATGTGTTTTGAGTCCAATATTAATTTGGTTAGTATGAAAGGACTTGATAAAATAGATCTTAATATGTGGTTCATAGTAGCATATAAAAAAGCTTAACATGTTGTTGCATTTAAGTACTTAAAAATCTGACCTTGACCTCATTTGTATGGTTCAATGGTCAATGTCAAATTTTCGTAATTAGATCTATTTCTCAGTGACATCAGAAATAGGCTAACTACATGTAGATTTGGTGTATGTAAAGATTTTACAGTGTACATGTCGGTCTTGTAGGGTTCATCTGACCTTGACCTCATTTACATGGATCATTGATAATGTTAAGTATGTGATACTTGTAGTAAAACCTTCGTATTACATACTTTTGATGTAAGTTCAACCTTGGTAAGTGGAGCAGACCAGACATTTTAGTGTGTGCACTCTTGTTTGTATTTAACTTCCACCGTAATGCACTAAGTGGCAAGGGCATATACTGTTACCAATGTCCTTCCTTCTATTCGTTTGAAAATCAAACAACCACCAGTCTTTTTTTTTTTTTAAATATGCTTGCATATATGGATGTGATTTTTGGTATATTAGCATACAATGATAATTTACAGATTGATCTTGAGTTAAGTTCAGGTATACATACTTTTAAAGAATTTCTACCAAAATTTCTTAAAAATTGTACGACATTTGTAGTTTGAACTTTCTATTGTCATTATTGTTATGCTTGCAAATATTTAGCTGATATTTGATACATTACTTATTTAAGTATACATCATGATGACTTACAGATCAAATTTGTGTTTTTCTCTGCTTGTCCAATTTTTTGAAGTGATGAATGACAGATTGATTTTGCATTTTGTTCTGGTTGACCAACTGTCTGCATTTAGAGGCAGGAACATTTTTGTTGTACTGAAATGTTTAGTTTAGGTAAGGATTAATGAGTTTCAGGATACTGTGACAATAATTGCTCTCTTCTTTCCCTAAGATTTTTCATTTTTACAGCACTTGTATATCTACTCATTGTTAACAACAAAATACACAATTTATCTACAGGGACATCATATGTGTGCAGCTATGTTAGTATGGTTATACAGTAGAAATGACCTTCAGAAGACATATGTTCCTATAGTGATGTCCTTGTTAGCACTGAGTTGCTATAGACCACTTATTGTAGAGTAAGTATTGAAATGAATCATTGGGAGAAAGAATTAAAGAAGCAGCTTATATTTCATAAAGTAATAAGATAAAAAGAAGAAGCTTGCATAACATTACAAAATCTGAAATCGAAAAATTCATCAAAACCCTGATGTCTTTTAAACAACCAAAATATTTTCTGTATAATTTTTTTTCATAACCTATAAAATCCCAAATACTATTTCAGTCATTGGCCTTTCAGACTTGTAGTTGTCTATCAAATATGAACCTTTCTAGACCAGCTGTGCTAAGTGAGATATGTTATAAATAGCTGCAGTCAGTAAATTCAATATGATTAAAAATATATGATCTGCTAAAAGTATTGATTGATTGGTGTTTAACGCTACTTTCAACACTATTTTGCTATTTCGTGGTGGTCAGTTTTTATTGGTGGAGGAAGCCGAAGTGCCCAGAGAGAACCACTGACCTTCGGTAGGAAAACTGACAATCCTTGTCAATTAAGATTGGAGTCGAGTGCACCTGCCACGTGTGGGATTCAAACTCACAACCTCCGTGTTGACTGGCTAGTGATACAGTAGTTAGACTATTAGACAACTAGGCCTCCATTGATTGAAGTCATGAATTGATGTATTTTTAGGGTAAAATTTGCCTGTTAATCACAATTTTTATGCCCCTGTCGTAGCAGAGGGGGCATTAAGTTTTACCCTTGTCCGTCTGTACATCCCAAAGTTGGTTTCCGTTCTCTAACTTTAGTTTGCCTTAACCAAATGTTATGAAGCTTATACACAATGCTTATTACCACAAAACACAGATCAAGTTTGAATTTTGGTGGCTTCACTTTTACCACACTAGAGTTATGCCCCTTTTCAATTGACTGTAAGTTTGAAGTATTTCTTTCCTAGATGATTTTTATAAACTTTTGATGTTTTTGGATATTATCTTGGAATCATGCATGGATAGAAAGAAACTGTAAACAGTAAAATTGATAAACAAGAAAATTGAGATCTGCTTATCATTTCATTCATGATTGGTATTAAATATTGTGATGACTGCTTAGTGGTAGGCCATTTGATTAGGAGAGAAGGGCTTAGTAGATTTTGTGAACAAAAAATTGATCCTGAACTATGTAAATAACTAAAGTTATTCTGGATTTGAGGAGAAAAACATGGCCTTGATTTTTGTCGAGCCTTCGACTTTAGTCGAAAAAGCGAGACAGCAATCCTACATTCCGTCGGCGTCGTTGTCGTCGGCGGCTTCCACAAATATTCACTCTGTGGTTAAAGTTTTTAAAATTTTAATAACTTTCTTAAACTATCCTGGATTTCTACCAAACTTGGACAGAAGCATGTTTATGATCATAAGATAGTATCTAGAAGTAAATTTTGTAAAAATAAAATTCCATTTTTTCCATATTTTACTTATAAATGGACTTAGTTTTTCTGCCGGGAAATATTACATTCACTCTGTGGTTAAAGATTTTAAAATTTTAATAACTTTCTTAAACTGTCCTGGGTTTGTACCAAACTTGGACAGAAGCTTGTTTATGATCATAAGATAGTATCTAGAAGTAAATTTTGTAAAAAAATAAATCCATTTTTTCCTTATTTTACTTTTAAATGGACTTAGATTTTCTGCCAGGAAATATTACATTCACTCTGTGGTTAAAGTTTTTAAAATTTTAATAACTTTCTTATACTATTTTGGATTTGTACCAAACTTGGACAGAAGCTTGTTTATGATCAAAAGCTAGTATCTAGAAGAAAATTTTGTAAAAAAATAAATCCATTTTTTCTGTATTTTACTTTCAAATGGACTTAGATTTTCTGCCGGGAAACAACATATTCACTCTGTGGTTAAAGTTTTTAAAATTTTAATAACTTTCTTATACTATTTTGGATTTGTTCCAAACTTGGACAGAAACTTGTTTATGATCAAATGCTAGTATCTAGAAGGAAATTTTGTTTTCTTCCAGTTAACATTACATTCAGTCTGCAGTTAAAGTTTTTAAACATTTATTAGATTCATAAACTATCCTGGATTTTTACCAAACTTCGACAGAAGCTTCTTACAATCAAAAGATAGTATCAAGAGGAATATTTTTATTGATTTACTTCCTCATTTTTGTTGAGCCTGCGATTAACAGAAAAAGTAGTCGAGACACTGGGTTCCGCGGAACCCTTACAAATTTTTTTTAATGTACTCTCAAAAAGCTGTATATTTAAAAACTTAATTTGTTTCTTAAAAAAAAATAATTATGCAAAAATAATAATATCAATTGTTATATTTTTGCCAGTTGAGGGATTCAGGTTCTTGTTAGCTGCTGGTTTCATAATAAAATCTTTAAGATAGAATAGTTTTGCGCAAATACTACTGTGTAAAAATATGCTGTTTCTTATTTGGCATTGTTTAATGTTTACTTGAAATTTTTGTTGCATTTTTCTCAAAAAAACTAGTTTATAATAGCTTGGTATATGAAGTTTAATGATGGTAAGCTATGTGTTTATCTATGTTTTGTTGTCACATTGTTGGTATAAATAATTTCATTTCTCTTAAATGCAAGAGCAGGGGATAAGTTAGTAAGCAATTGTTCAAATCGCTGATCATTATCATGTCATCAAGTGTTCCTTCTTTTTAACTTTGCTAAACGCCTTTTTTATACAGTTGTTATATTGGACAAATATTTGGCAGTTATGCGAGTCACATGACTGTGGTTGGTGTATATGTCCAATATAAAAACTGATCAGTGATTTGGAAGTAGTCCAAAACATTGTAAAGTAGGAAATGTAAATTAGAAATAGTTCAATGGCAAAAACTCAACCAACACTAATGAATTAATTAAAGGTAGCCAAACATGTGTTTTTGTTTACTACATATAATAATACATGCAGGTGTGTATGTTAAGGTGTTTTGATTGGCTGATGAAGTAAGGACAATACAACAGATATAAGATATAAATTTGCTGCACCTCTTGACAAGCTGATTCTATATACAAGTATTTGTTTTCTTTATAAAATACTCTAGGAAAACATGCTTTATGTTCTTTTGAGTCTTCAACAAATGAGAACATAATTATAATGAACTTGCAGCTGGTTTAAGGAAGTTTAAGGAAGTAATATGACATGTTCCTATTACTAAGTGGTACTCAAATAGTAATATATTTTTTTTCTTCAAGTTTTTGATAAATTTTACTTATTTTTATATAAAATGAATGAAAACAGATAGGTCAAGATGCACAATTCATTTCCCATAGGCGACAATGGTAACCTTTTCTTCCTGTCCATATCGTAAACTTGGATATGTATGATTGCTCATTTTGAAGCTGAGACAATTTTCACACATGTGGCTTAATTTTATTGGGTACAAAGTGAGATTAAATTTTTCACAAATTGGGCAACCCTGAAAGGCCCCACGTGATGCCGCTTCAGCAAGTGAAAAGTTCTTATTTTCACACAGTTAAATTCTCTGGAAATTCAGTTCTGTACAAACATTTAATAACTCCAAAGTTTTTACATCGTTATTGTACAGTCTTCTGCTCTTCAAAAAAGCACAAATGGTTTTAAAAGCTCGGTTAATTACTAAAAATAGCATCATATCAAACTTCATTGCATACAGGTTTTTTATTTCTTTTTATAGTTTGAGTACCCAACCTTGAGACCCATAAGAGATATTGACCTAGATAAAGCATACAAAATAAAAGTTTTTATCTTCAGTTGATGAAAAATAATAATCAAAGTTAGTTGGTTAACATATATCTATTTGAAGTCCCGTCAATGAAAATAAAAACACAAATTAATCCTGATAATATGTCCACGTTTGATGTTCAGGAAAATTTTGAAGAATCAATAGTATTGGAAGATAGAAATACTAAGTCAAATAATCAATTAACTGTTTTATGAGCATCAAAATAGGTTGTTAATACAATGTCAATTCGATTGTTTGTCTAGCAATCAGAAGTTCATTTTTGACACCTTGTTGGTGTAATACATGGAAACATGTGTTTACTACACATTTGACTCAAGGAGTAATGATATGAATTAAAAAACACAAGTCTGGAATCAATTCAAGATGAACAGGATGTTAGAAGCAACTTGAAAAACTTGCCTTGTAAATCTTGTTTGTATGTACAATGTATGGCTCAATCACAACAATAAATGAACATAATGATTTCTTAATTTTCATTACCCGTATGTAATATGATGCACGTTTTTATTTTTTCAGAATTTTAATACATGCAGTAGGCCTGGGATCATGGACATTATTGGCGGCAAAAGCTTTATTTACAACAACAGTTGGGGTCATTGGACTTCAGATATTCCTAACAATGGCTGTTCAGACATCAAATAACCATTACTAATCAGACCTTATATATGGAGTGCATAGAACAACTGGTCATTAACAATAAACACACCCTGTTACTCGCTATCAGTAAGGCAGATGCAATAGGTAATACAGTTCAATATTTGCTGTACACGATTGTAAAACCATTGTATTACAATGACAATTGGAAATGCAAACATAAAATTACATTATCGGCAATTTGTACATTTTCCCTTTGATCTTACTGCCTAACATTTTCAAGATCATGGACAGGACTTGATACTCGAAAATATTAGACAATGATGTCGTATCAGAGCAGCAACGTCACCTGTTCATGTCCATTCGTGTCACTTTATCAATCAAATGCATGGGACTTCTTTCATCCCACAACATTTTGTACACGTAAAAATAGTTTTACTAGCTATTTCATTTGATTTCATATTTTCAACCAAAAAAACGTACAGTTAAGACAAATTGCCAATAAAAAAAAATGGCATTTTATTTTTCGAAATGCCATTATTCTATATGTACACAAAAGCCAAAACAATTGTTTTGAATAACAATATCAAGCACAAATCCTATTGTACCTGCTGTACCGATAGCCAGTAATATAAAAAGGGAAGGGGTAAATGTGTTAACACATTTTCTTGCAAGTGTTCACTTCTATTTTGATGTGTCAGTCTGTTTTTAAAAAAGAGAGAAAAAAAAACAATTGATGAACCTTAAATGGTCAGGTAAAACTATGGGAAATCTAGGATATTGCTTGAAGCAAGCTGTTTCATCAGACCAATATTAATTTTAGCATTTTACAATTGTTAAAATAGCACTAGATAATATTGAACTGACCATTTATAAGAAAATAGGTTAAAACAGGAATAGTTTATGGTGTAAATGTATAACAGAGAGTTGAAGTATATAAGAAGAATTTAGAATTCAGTTTTTGGAAGTAATGTGATGTACGATGATCTTTGATAAAACATTATCCTAAGTTATGTTGTTTGTAAGGTATTTTATCTATTGTTTTTATTGTAAATCATTTAATATTTAAACTTTTCATTGATGAATGAAATTTCATACTACAATCATGTCATCTCATGTAAATTTAGATAGTGATGCTTGCATTTCTTGTGTCAGCTGACTGCTTCCATATCACACTTTCTTTATGTGTAACTGTTGACAACTTGAGAATGAAACCAAACATGCACAGATTCTTCTATAAGACATCAAGTTGTGCACTTGCTATTTAGCTTTTTGAACAGAGTGATCCTTTAGGGTTTTCTATACCAAAAACAGAAAATTAATCATTTCAGGTTATTTTTTTATCAGGCAACACACATCGTACTCACTCATTTTCAACACACAATACTAAGTAATGTATGTGAATTTGTTGTATATATGAAAATGATCTGAATTTACATTATATTGTATTCTGAATGTAGTTGTAATGGTGAGTCTGTTCTTACTGATAAAAAATGATTGATACAAACTAAATCTAGGTAAAATTTAAGCTTTGTTTCTGTGTACTGTGTAACCTCTACTTTATATTAAAACACTGCCATTCAAGTGATACAGTTTCAAAAATATGAAATCATTTCATTATTTGACATTTATTGTTAAACCTGGTCTGCGAACATGTAAATCTATCTGTCCTTTGTCCCTTTTAGGGAAATTCATAGTGCCAGCTTTTTCATGTCAGTTTTTCATGAAAAGGATAATTGATTTGTATAGCTATGTTATTTAAAACGTTTTTCAAAGGAAATAATGGGTGACTTATGTTAGAAATTGTGTATTGATAAAGGCATTGTATTCTATTCAGAATAAAAATTAAGAATTCTTATGTATTCATTTACCATTTATTAGTTTATAAAGAAGTATATCTTTAATATTTGTATAGTAAACCATTACTCTATCTATGTGTCAATGTATATGTTTATATGACATTGTATAGTGGCAGCACCTTCTGTTTAGAGACTTGTACCTATTTGATAAGCTAACAGAATATGAGCATAATCATTTTTATACGACCGCAAACAAATTTTGTTGTCGTATATTGGTATGACGTTGGCGTCGTCGTCGTCCGAAGACACATTGGTTTTCGCACTCTAACTTTAGTTTAAGTAAATGGATCTCTATGAAATTTTACCATAAGGTTCAATACCACAAAAGGAAGGTTGGGATTGATTTTGGGGGTTATGGTACCAACAGTTTAGGAATTAGGGGCCAAAAAGGGGCCAAAAATAAGTAATTTTGTAACTTCCAGACATAACTTGTGTGTTAGTGTATGGATCTCTCTGACATTGTACCACAAGGTTCCATATCACAAAGGGAATGCTGGGATTGATTTTGGAGGTAATTGCCTTAAACTTTTAGGAATTAGGGGGCAAAAAACAAGCATTTTTCTAGTTTCATGACAATAACTTGTGTGCAAGTGTATGGATCTTTCTGAAATTGTACTACAAGGTTCCATATCACAAAGGGAAAGCTGGAATTGATTTTTGGGGTTATTGCCTCAAATTTTCAGAATAAGGGGCCAAAAAAGGGGCAAAAAACAAGCATTTTTCTAGTTTCATAACAATAACTTGTGTGTAAGTGTATGGATCTTTCTGAAATTGTACTACAAGGTTCCATATCACAAAGGGAAAGCTGGGTTTGAGTTTGGGGGTAATTGCCTTAAACGTTTAGGAATTTGGGGCCAAAAAGGGGCAAAAAAAACAAGCATTTTTCTAGTTTCCAGACAATAACTTGTGTTCAAGTGTATGGATCTCTCTGAAATTGTACTGCAAGGTACCATACCACAAAGGGAAGGCTGGGTTTGAGTTTGGGGGTGATGAATCATAAGGGGGTTCAAAAAATTTAAAAATTTGGGAGGGGGATTTTTTTTTCCCTTTTTTTCCTTTTTTTTTCTTTAAAATTTTCCATTTAAAATTGGTTATTTCTGATTTATATATAAAAGCAAATAATAATGATATGGTTTGAATAGGTAAATTAAAAATTTTTAAGTTCTTAGACCACATTCATTCTGTGTCAGAAACCTATGCTGTGTCAAATATTTAATCACAATCCAAATTCAGTGCTGTATCAAGCTTGAATGTTGTGTCCACACTTGCCCCAACTGTTCAGGGTTTAACCTCTGCGGTCGTATCAAGCTGCGCCCAGTGGAGCAGTTTATTATACGCCTGTTTACAGGACATATTATGGTATACCTCTGTCTGTCTTTCATTAACATGTCTGGACAAAAACGCTTTGAACAATTTTCATGAAACTTTGGTGAATTGTTTATATCTACTGACGTAAGCTCCCTTTCGATTTTTATAAATTTTGGATTTTACTTTTCCAGGTTATTAGTTTTATTTATATAAAAAGGTGGGATTTTCCAGTTTTTTGACAATAACTCAAAAACACTTAAGCTTTAACCAATTTTCATTAAACTTTGGTGAATTGTTTATATCTATTGATGTAATCTCCTTTTCATTTTTTATAAATTTTAGATTTTACAATTCTGAGCAAGGATTTGTATAGTATAGTCTCACTATACAAATCCTTGTTCTGAGTTATTGGATTTTATTTATAATAAAAGGGGGATTTTCCAGTTTTCGGACAATAATTCAAAAATGCTTTAAGCAGTTTTCATGAAACTTTGGTGACTGGTTTATATCTATTAAAATAAGCTCCCTTTAGTTTTTTTCATAAATTTCTGATATGACATTGAGGAGTTTTGAATTTTATTTGTTGAAAAAGCAATGGGCGTATCATGCGCTCATGGTGCAGCTCTCTATGTTACTTTTATTTGGTTTATTTTGATTTGATGTATGACCTAGTTGGCATTTAACAACACTGGACAATAGGGTCATTCTAACCGTTCTAGAGTTATGCCCCTTTATAAATGGAAAAATTACAAAATTTTTAGTTTCTGTTTGCCTCAACCAAATGTTATGAAACTTATACACAATGCTTATTACCACAAAACACAGATCAAATTATGAATCCTGGTGGTGTCACTTTTACCGTTCTAGAGTTATGCCCTTTACAATGGAAAAATTACTGAATTTTTCGTTTCCATGGTCTCCTGCAGGAAATGTATCTGTTCACCAAAGTTGCTAATTGAGCAGAATAATGTGAGAAAGCACTTAAACTGCAGTATAATGTTTTGCAAAAACTCCTCTTCTTGTCGTATCTTTAAACATTACCACATTAAGGATATTCCAGGAACATGTCATTCACACTAAAAAGGATATATCTTATTTGCATGGTGAAACCTATCCAAAACTGAACCTTTAGGTTCTAAAGGTTTTGTTTACATTAGACGGTCGGTAAGTTCACATGGGTCAAGTTACTAGTGTATGGATACAAGGGTTAAGTTTAGAAAGAGTTTTCTGTAAACAAGATTTGGCTAAGAATATTAAAAAGGCCACACCAACTATCAACACCCGACTCCTAAAAAATGATGTAAAAACAAAGAAAAAACAACAAATTGTCTAGTTAGCCTGATTTGGTGCAGGTCCAAATGTTTTGAGTTTATATTAGTTTTACATGTGCACAAACCCCTCCCCCTTTTGTTTATATAGAACATGTATTAACGGGAGGGATTGTACTTGATTTTCATATGATGAAGACATAATCTTTCAATCAGTTTATTTGAGATCTGGAGCTGGCATGTCAGTAACTGCTAGTAGTCCTTTGTTAATTTATGTATCATTGTCGTTTTGCTTAGTTTCTTTTGTTACCTATTCTGACATCGGACCTTGACTTCTTTTAAACTGAGTTTTACTGTGCGTATTGCTATGTGTTTCTTTATTCTACATTGGCTAGAGGTATAGGGGGAAGGTTGAGATCTCACAAAACATGTTTAACCCCGCCGCATTTTTGTGCCTGTCCCAAGTCAGGAGCCTCTGGCCTTTGTTAGTATTGTATGTTTTTTTAATTTTAGTTCAATTATATGTTTTGGAGTTTAGTGTGACGTCCATTTTGAACTAGTACACAATTTTATTTAGGAGCCGGGTGAGGACCACCTCTGGGTGCGGGAATTTCTTGCTGCGTTGAAGACCCATTGGTGGCCTTCGGTTGTTGTCTGCTCTTTGGTCGGGTTGTTGTCGCTTTGGTATATTCCCCATTTCCATTCTCAATTTTATTGTAAAGGAAAAAAACTTTCATAATTAACCTGCACAGTACAGCTAAAAACATGATGATCACTTGAACAAGAACAAAAATAGGCAGCACATCAATTGGAAAGTATGGTCGTAGTGTGCTTGCTACTGCAACAAACAAATTGTGTTAGCCACAGCTGTTGATTGAAAACTGCCATTCAAAAATATCAGAAACATCACTCCTTACAGAGTCGTAATATCTCCTAAAACTTAATTGAACTTGGCAGTATTTGTGAGAAGCCAATAAGTATTAAAAGTTCTGACCAAAAAACCAGCTCAACTTAATTAGTATATCAAGACTCTCACCTTTGTTGTTGACAGATATTAAAACGTTTCCAGAGTTTAAAAAACTCATTTTTAATGTTTTAGTTTAATTTATGTTATTACAAGAAAAGGTAGGATGAGAAATATCATCTTATATTATTTTTTTACACGAAACACTATTTACAGACTTGATGATAATGACTGATTTTTTTTTTAATTGTTCAAAAGTCTGTGATATCAGTAACCAGGCATGGATTCAGATGGGGTCGCACTGTTGTTTTATCTTTTAAATTATAATAATGATTAGCATTGGTCATGATCAACAAACAGTCAAGACAAAGACAATAGATTTAATTTAAATTTCTTCTTTCAATTCAAACTTTATTTACCAATCTACCAAATTTTGGACATACTGGTACATAATGTAGTTTAGTTTCCAAAACAAATTGTTTCTGGTTGATATCTTGAGTATCATTTGCTTGATTGAAATGAAACTTATACAGATGGAAAATATAGAGAAGGGAAAGAATCCTGTTGATTTTTTAGAGTCAATAGATCAAAGGTCAAGGTCATTGTTACAAAGATATATTTTTTTGGAAAAAGGTTTCTGGATGTTCACTTGGTTTCCCTTGCTTGATTAAAGCGAAACTTAAAACAGATGGAAGATATAGGGAAGGGGGAAATCCTATTTGTTTTGGGGTCGAAAGTCAAGATCATTGTAATGATTTTTTTTTAAATGATTTTTGGAAAGTTCCTTTAGTTTCGCTTGCTTGATTCTAATGTTGACTTATTCAGATGGAAGATAAAGGGGAGGAGAGAAAGCCTTTTGATTTTGGGGTCAAAGATCAAGGTCACTGTTACCAAATAAGAAGATAAATTTAAAAATGATCCCCAGATGGTAGCTTAGGTTTCTCCATTACTTGATTTGAATGAAACTTATACGCGGTAGAAGAAATATGGAAGAGGAATGTGTTTTTTTTATTATCGGGGTATCCGATCAAAGGTCAAGATCACTGTTTCTAAAGTAGAAAAGGTTGAAATTAGCACTACATGTTTTTTTTTTGTCCCTCCATGCATACAAATATTTTGAGCCCCTGAAATAAAAATGTTCTCTATAAATGTGTAGTTCAGGGAGCATCTATTGGCAGTGCTAGCATTTAACTTATTGTCTTTGCCAATTAAAATAGTTTAAATTACCCAGCGTCTTGACCGTACTAATCGTTTACCTGGAATAAACATTGACAATTCAAATTATCCTCCTCAATATCACACCCTATTGCCAGCTATCGGTACGGCAGATGCAAAAGTAACAGGTCAAAATCCGCTGATCACGATTTTTAAATTCAGCATTGTAATGACAATCTGAACGCAGACCAACATTTGATGTGCACGATAGCCAAAAAAAATAGGTTTAATTAGCAATCGGTTTCACAGATCCTATTGTAAAGGGTGTGAATAGTACGTTAGATATTTATATAGGCCGATAGATCTAAATGAACACACGATCATACTTTAAAAATCTGATTTGTTTTTAACAATGAAAGTGATTCTGCTTCAAATACAAAAAAAAAACAAAAACACACGCAACATTGCAGTCTTTAAAAGGACGTTTGTTTGGTATTGGTTGGTCACTAAAAATCTTGAAATGGATGCTGTGACCAATAGTCATGTTTGTCCCAGATTGAAGACTGAGGAAGCAATTGTTACTGAATAATCATGCATTTTCACAGGAAATGAAGAAACAAATTATCATGCAAGTCATTATTGGAACCTTGGGTTATAAAACATTTAGTGCAGATTTATTTGATTTGTTTTACGCAAGTTGTTAATTGATGCTATTAAACAAGAAACCGATTTGTAATTGAACAAGAAACAGAGCAGAATGAGCTAAAACCTCAGTGTTCAATAACCAATGACGTCACAAAAAGCCTTTAAATTATCAAGCAGGTCTATATCTGATCTTAACAGCCTGTGTAAATGTATAATGCTAATTAATATGCATGTATAGGCTATCCTGATAAACCATGTAATCTTTGAGTGTTATTTTAGTAATTGCCTCTCTTACTTTTGTGTGTCTGTATATATGCATTATGTAATATATATATTGTATGTATCTCTGCCAAAATGAGATTTTTATAACAGAAGATTCCACTATTTATTTTTTTTTAAAAACCGAATTCCGTGACCAGTTATGGATCTATGTAACTTTATATGAATTAAACAGAAATTTCAGTAGCAATAACATTTCATTTTAAAGAGAATTTTAATTGAGGATATGATTTCGAAAAACATTTGCAATATTAACGTGTATTCTATCGGTTTTTTTTTTATATTTTATGTGCTATAGCTCGGAAATTCCAAAAGTATACGTTTTCAATAATCATAACAGTTTCTCATGCTCTAGTTGTATGCAATTTTTCTTAAAAAATCCATGTTATCGCCCATTTACGAACCTGTTGTGGAAAGAATACGTCTTAGAAATTTTGATGCTTTTTCGATCTCATGTTATTGGGAATAATTGATTTATAAATACTGGGAAAAAAATGAATCCGGTGACCGCATATAAATTTCATATTGAAATGGACATGTTCATAGTGATAACATATTATTTTCTGCCAGATTTGTTGTTTCTTTATATTTTTTTAAGCATAGATCAGGCTGTTGGGTATTATCTAGTTTGAATTGTTTCACAATTTGTCATGCAGCTATCTGATTAAACTACAGATCCTGTGTCCACGGTTTGCCTTGTAAGCAAAGTGTGTACACAGCATATGTATTTCAATCAGATTGGTCATGCCAGAGTCTTTTCTAACTGTATACCGGATGAACATTTCTCAAAAGTGACCTATAGTTCTCCATAGACACGTCCTTTGTTTTTTTGGTGTGTAGTTGTTTCATTGTCCATTCCGTATCTCCTTATTTTTATATTTATAAGGATGATCTAATCAGGACACTCAAGTGTCACTATTATGTCATAAATTTGATATTGACATACAGTATTTGACCTAAAATGGTCATTTACTCATAATTTGGAGGCAAAATTAGATATTTTAATTTTCATGACAGAAGCCTAAGTCAGCCTATTTTGGCAATTTTTTTTTTTGCGATTTTGTCCTTACATATTTTATTTAATTGGAACCCTGAAAAAAATGTTTGAGTATAAATTCAAAAAATATTGATAAAGTCTTACAATCATCTGTATAGGATCATCGGTTACTTGATAGATTTGTGATACTTTTTTTTACCTTCAAGTGGTTAAGAAGAGTGGCCTTGCATTTTCTTCTTTTCTGGTCACAGAAAACTGGTAATGCCAGTGAAACGGATGTATTTTATGTATGTACATATCGATGGACATTAAAGGAAATTAATTACGTAGCATAATTATGTTGAATGAGTTCAGTGTGACAATTTGCATATGAAAATCGACATATATAGTCGTCAGCAACACTATCGCTATGAAGAAGAAATATATGGCGCGTTTACATTTCAAACCACATGCAGAAGATGTTACCTTATTGGGAGAAAAGTATAGAGACATAATAAGTATCCCCCTCGCAGTACATAATTAACCACACTGGTCATGTGTAAGTTCCATAATTATGTTGCCAATTTAATTATGACAAACGGATGATGATTAATATCATACCATCGGTTACTATTAATAAACTATAACTTTTATAAAAGAGTAGAAAATTAAAAAAAATAATAGCTTCAAGAAATGATAATTGGTCAATATATGTATCGTCTAAAAATATTATATCTTCATTTATTTTCATGTTTTGAATCCTTACAAAAATAACAAAATGGTAGCGACTAGTGGCATTATTAGGAAGCGCCATCTGTGTTGCTGCTGTGTATGTGGATTTATCTTTGGTTGTGCCGCAACTATTGGTGGCATCGTTGGAATTGTATGGTACTTTCAAAACAGTATATCAAATCATTTGAAAAAAAATAACAACGGTAAGTTTCTGATAAAAATAGCTTTCTCCAGTCCTTAAAAAGAGATGATGTTTGAAAGCGTACTTTCATATTTCTATAATACATTAATGAATTATGTTTATTATTTTGAAGTATCTCCTGCATAGAGGGTATATTGATAGACTATTAAAAAAAATAAGAAAAAGAAATCAAGTTTTGGAGAATTTAACTACACAGTTATATTAAGAATGAAAAATAAAACCTTGTTTAATAAGATGTCAAGTTGGCATAGGTGAAGTAATCTGCATATTGTAATTTAGCAGACACCTTTTGTTGCCTTTAAGCTTGCATTATTTTTGACAATAAAAAAGCCTTAATCTATATCTTCATTTGCTTTTGTGTTGAATGTAAATGAGACAACGCATGTATCCTCTTCCATATCAAGGACTTTGGTTTCCGGTTCAATCATGTACAAAATCATAGTATAGTTTTATATCTTCCCAGAGCAAACAGTTAGTTTGCATTGTCATCCCGTCATATACGAATTTAAACATGGACCTGTACGAAAACACGACAGAATACAAATTCGATGATCCATGCTATGAAAATGGAGACACTCTGAAAGAAAAACAAAAACTACGATTCGTTGATAATCACGAAAACGACACAAAAACGGTGCCTGTGTCTACATGTTATAAATTCACAGGAAATTTTAATGATACCGAAGACAATTTGAAAACTAAAAGAACTACTCGTACATATCATTGCTGCTGCTGTTTTCTTGGTTTTACAGTAGGATGTGTATTTGCGACTGGTGTCTGTGTCTCGATATATTATTTTCTCTTGCCTTATTTAGTCCCATTATCAAAAGGTATGTTACATTATTGTTATTTTGTCATCTTGAACTTGTTATTTTGAACTTGATTAGTTTTGATTCACCAGATGGATATTTCAACAACTAACGCCCTAGTACGACTCGAGATCTTTAACTTTAAACGTTGGAAGCGTTGAAACAACGGAAAAGAAGTGTCATTTCACTTTTAAAATTTTTTAATTTTTTTACTAAAAATATGTGTCCATCTACCTGTATGAGTGGTAAAATGATGGCAAGAAATGTAAAGCTTTTGTCAAAATGAGAAATTGATTAACGACACATACAAATACGTGAAGTCATCTGAATGGACTTTGACACAGAAAGGACAGAATACGATATATCAATCCATAACATAGAAATCGTTACACGCACAAGACAATTAAACAAAACTTTTACTGCTGATTCAAGTCACAGTGAGGGTTGCAATGTTGAGTGGTCACTAAAAAAACGAATAAGAAATACATTCCTAACTAAAACCGAATATATTTAGTTTCTTCATCTTTAATCTCTGATGAAAATCATGGCGAACTTATTAAGGGTATTTTCTAATGATATAAAGTCCACTTCATATATGGCTAGTTATTTCCTCCTTTTATTTGCACTGTACTCTTCCTTTCCTACTTATCATTCGAAAATTGTTGGTATAGTTCACGAACTTGCATTCAGTATAAATGTTGTTCAAAGTACCAAGCTTATGAAGGAAGCACTTCATCGTATATCCTAAAGACCATTTAATGTCTCCTCTGAAAACTGTAAAATTGATAAATATGAATAAACAATCTTAGGTTATCTAATAGAGATGGTTTGATGCTATTATAGCAGAAATATAAAGACACATATTTTCAAGAAAATTGACCACACATAGAAAATGTTCAATCAATCCTGTAATGATGATTAATGCTAATTTTATTCAAATTCTATTTAATTGGGTCATGATAATAACCTGACCTATTGACCTGTCAAGTGTTATGATTTATTTACCGTAAATGGATTTTTGTTTATTCCTGAATAAGATTTATATTTAAATATATCCTTTGTTTATCATCGAAAGCACGTGAAATATGTTATCTACGTCCTGTCAGATATGTGTCTAATATTTTACAAATACTACTATTAAACCCTATGGACAATTGACTTGTTTTTTATGATAATTCCAGTGGTGAATTCAACCCTAAAGTGTAACAAAATGAAATTATTTATCTTGGCATATTGCTTATTCAGGATTAAGTTTCGTGTTTTCAGAGTCGTGAATTAGATCGATTGATTGATTGGTGTTTAATGCCATTTTCAGTATCATTGGCTATTTCGTGGCGGTCAGTTTTTATTTGTGGAGGAAGCTGAAGTGCTCGGAGAGAACCCCCAACTTTCGGTAGGAAAACTGACAATCCTAGTCAATGAAGGCTGGCGTCGAGCGCAACTACTACACACGTGCGGGGAACGAACTCCTCACAAACCCAGTGTTGACAGGCTAGTGCTACAGTAGTTGGCCTAATTAGACCACTCGGCCACCGAGGCCGCCTCATAATTTAGACTATATGTCTAATGGTTGGTTGTATTTTATATTGTGAAAACCATACATCTTTATGATTTTAAAAACGAGAGCGTTAAAACTAAAATGGTTCATGGAACTATATGTTTTCGATCGAGAAAAGGTCAAGTGACGTTTTTATCATGTACTCTGTCCCAAAAACCAGATATTTTGTATTAAAACGGTATACTGACTGTGTGTCTCCGAAACGAAACAAACGTGTATATCATCAAAGTAAGGTTACCGAATTTCTATGTCTATTGAGTTTAATCATATTTAACATATCAAAACAAATTTCAGGTACACACATGGGGTGTTTGGAAGGTTGGCAGCGGTACAAAGGAAACTGTTATTTCTTCAGCACATTCAATCTGTCATGGACAGACGCACAGGTTCGTATAAAACAAAACCATCAAATCATACAGACAAATTCAAATAACTTGATGACATATCCGAGAAGGGTAGAAATATAGAATGAAATATTGTTTTATTCTTTGTCAAAATATAGCAGTTTTCATTCTATTCTGCCATATATGTATACAGTAAATGATAAAACTAGTAATATGTCAACAAATTTCTTTTTAAACTTCAGTGTGCTTGAGCATAAGTTACATTATTTATAAGGCTTATCGTGACTATGGGACTAAATAGAAAGTAAGATGATATAATTTTAAAATGAAATACAAGGGAAAATATCTTAAATACTGTCAAACAACAAAAACAACAAAAAATAATCACCTTACTCATTTTCTTGTTAAAATCAAATAAACAAGATAGTGTAATCTAATGTAAATTATCTTAGCAATCTGCATTGCGAATCAAACATTATATTTTTAGAAGAATAACAAGTTTTCTATATTTAATAAAAAAAAAACCTGGTTAATACCATATGTTAAAATAATGACAATGTCTTTATGTAAAAGAAAGATCTTCAATTGTGTATTGAAACTGTTGTTTTTTTTAATTTTAGAGAAATTGTACCAATATGTTATCCCATTTGACTGATGTAGATGACTTAGAAGAAGCTCTCTATTTTGCATCATTGACAGAGTTATTTATTAGCAAGTATTTTTTCAAAATAATTTCGTTCACATTAACGCATAATTTGAAATTTAAAAAACTGCAAAACGTGGAATGAATTGATTAGAGAAAAATAAAGGCAACAGTAGTATACCGCTGTTCGAAACTCATAAATTGATAGAGATAAAAACAAATCCGGGTTACAAACTAAAACCGAGGGAAACGCCACGAACTATTTTCTTATCCTATTTCTCTCGTACAACTGTCTTATCCCATTTCTTCCGTACACTTTCATTTCCCGTTTCCTCGTACAATTTTCATTCACATTTGAAATGCTCATGATACACGTTTTTTTTGTGTTACTGACGTTCGGGAAACACTCACATTCCAATGTAGGGGACGACCACTTGATATCCTAGCCAGGGGGGGGGGGGGGGGGGAGGGGGGGGGGCATGACTATTTTTCCCTATTGATCTTTTTTTTTTGTTCTCTTAGGATTCTAGCTGTTGATTTCATAACAAAGCTGACAATTTCTGAGCTTTCATCGGCAAAGAGATAAGACCAATTTCCGCTGAGTTAATCTCACACGAGAGTCTTTTTCAAAAAGCTCTTCAACATCTACAATAATTTACATTATCACACTTATTTATATGTGTACTTCGAGGATGTTATAACATTGTGTCGTATTTTTTGGTCACGTTGCATAATCATTAATGTCTAAAGATGACTCAAAACTGTTATTTTCAAAGATTTCGAAACCGATTTCGAGTAATTATGTCGACAATTAGAAGGTGGAAATTTTTATTGAAATTAGAGCTAATTTCCTAATGCTTGTAGAGTAAGACTTTGTTTGGCTTGCTTGCTTTGTATAAACGTTTGCTCAAGCATTGTAATTAAGATTGACATCTGCAAACAGTATAAATAGGCGGAGTTAAACCTGTATATATTATATTTAAATTTGATTGGATGTTGTACTGGAGGTAAGGAACATCCAATTGTACACGTAAACATTACATGACAAATATTATTCACACTTATTAAATAATAACTCCGCCTATTTATACTGTTTGCAGATGCCAGTCTTAATTACAATGCTTGAGCAAACGTTTATACAAACAAAGCAAGCAAGCCAACCAAAGTCTTAATCTACATGCATTAGGAAATGAGCTCTTAAGCTACGTAACTGTCTTTTTAAATACAATGGATGACCTTCGATGTAAATTTTGACCCAAAAATAAAACTTAAAATATGAAATATCTGACCAAAAATGTCTTCAACTGTTATGCATTGCATTGAATAACATTTAGTTTTATGAACAGTTGAAAAAGTATTGTAACATCCTCCAATTATTAAAATTCAAATTTCACTACGTTTCATGATCTTTTGGATTTGAGCCTGAGGTTGAAACAGAGTCCGTGAAAACTGGTTATACCTCTTTTATTCTTTTCAAATAAATAAAATAACTGATGCAAATGCAAGTTGGCAATTCTTTATAAGTGAACTTGGAGAGGTCTTCCAAAATATTCTAATACGAACAGTTCAATAGAAAAAAATACTAAAATTTCTTAGGAATTTATAATGTATTAAATTTATGTTTCAGGTGGTGATGCATGGATAGGTGGAAGGGGAATAAATAGTAGTAACTTTAAGTGGCTTACTGGTAGATATAACAGTATTCCTAAGGTTATGAACTTTACATACTGGGCACAGAACAAGCCTTCATCATCAACAATTGGGAAACAATTTAGTTCTCCCCCGCCAATGCAAAATTGTGTTCATATGTGGAAACAGAAGAATTACAAATGGAACAATAATGTTTGTACAAAAAAGAAACAATTCATATGTAAACAGAATAAAAAATGATCGTTAAAAAACCTTTGTTTTATTTTTGTATCATTAAATCATGATATAACCATTTATCTCTAAAATAGTGATAATTTTTACTTATTTCTGGTTTTGGACAAACCAAAACAAAATGTATGTTAATATACAAATTGATTTTGAATTTGTTGCTTTGAAATAGTTATTCCCTTACTACATATATTTCAACCTTGTATCAACTCTTGTTCATTGATTGATTGATTGTTGGTTGCTTAACGTCTCAAACCGTTGTTTACGTACTGGTATAACCTTTTTTAACAGGTTTTGGATTTTTAAATATATCGGCTTCGACCATCATTTAAGAGACATTTAAAAATTGTCGAAATGCACATCTGGTGCGTAATGTTTTTTACCGTTAATGTTCTTCATAAGTATACGTTCCTTCAAGAAATGAGCACTGTTTTGCTGCATTTTAATTCATCTTGCTACAAGAAACATCATACTATTGCCTTGATAACGATTAAATTAATTTTTATAGTTACGACATCTATTTTAAAAGTATAATTATTCAGCATGAAACGAAGAAAGAGTTCTGTTGTCGAATTCAGTTCATTCATGTTCAAGCTAAGAAAGGAGAGATAAAGACGAGAAGGAAAACAGAAAGATAGCAAATCATACTTTTGGTTATATAGTTTGTTCATATGTTGTACTGTTACACCATTGTCCCAGGTTACGGGGAGGGTTGGGCGCCCGCTAACATGTTTACTTGTAACCCCGCCACATTCTGTATGTGCCGGTCCCAAGTCAGGAATCTGTAATTCAGTGGTTGTCGTTTGTTACTGTATATCATATTTGTTTTTCGTTCATTATTTTGTACATTAATCAGGCCGTTAGTTTTCTCGTTTGAATTGTTTTACATTTGTCATTTCGGGGCCTATTATAACTGACTATGCGGTATTGGCTTTGCTCATTGTTGAAGGCGTATCATACGGTGACCTATAGTTGTTAATTACTGTGTCATTTGGTCTCCTGTAGAGAGTTGTCCCATTGGCATTAAACACGCTATAGTCAGGTTTTTTTGAGTGATTGTAATCATTCAAGTTGACTTATTTATAAATATGACACAATATACTTCAACTGTACATGAAACTTTCACGTTTTTAAACTCATGTGAATGACAATACCAACTCTCATAGCATATACTTCATTGTCATGTTCACAATTTTTATTTTCAAGGTTAAATTGTTAATATTTCATTATATGAATAATGAGATGTGGTATGAGTACCAATGAGACAACTCTCCATCCAAGTCACAATGTATAAAAAGTTAACAATTATAGGTCAAAGTACGGCCTTCCACTCGGAGCATTGGCTCACACCGAAAAGCAAGCTATTTAGGGCCTCAAAATGACTGGTGTAAAACAATTCAAACAGGAAAACCAACGGTCTATAGAAATAAGAAGATGTGGTATGAGTGCCAATGAGACAACTCTCCATCCAAGTCATAATGTGTAAAAAGTAAACAATTATAGGTCAAAGTACGTCCTTCAACATCTATATAAAAAACGAGAAACATTATGTTTGATTAAAATAGGTAATAACATGAAAAAACTAAACAAAGAAAACCAACACCAGTAAATATTGTAAATAACAAGATTACAGATAACCATTATAAGAAATACGTTACGTTAGGCAGTGAAGAAAAGAAAGAGTTTAGGACTTGCTCTCCTTGTAATTTTCCTAAAGACAAAATACATTATATTACTACCTAGTATGGTACCTCATAAACTAATACACGACAAGACAGGCAGGTGAAACTCGTCAGTCAAGCATATTTATACAATATACAAACAACCAAAAACTCTACCAGGATGTTTTTATTTGTACCAGCTGAAAAAGCAGCTAGCAGTTTAGTCTTTGTTTGAAAAAGTACTATAATGAGTTATTCTAGAATGAAGTTACAGCTTCCTAGTATTGTCATACTTACCACTTGTATTGACGAAAATGTTCAACACTTACTGATTTTGAAGCTTACTGTTCCTTGTGTTGACATGCATTATCATTGATATGGTCATAATTATAAATTAACTGTTTAAAAAACTTTAAATCATTCTTATGACCATATCAAACTGCCAGGCACTTACATACACTCGTGTGTACCAGTAGTTGATGCTCGCAGCGCCAATTTGTGAAAATCCATGGATGGTACCATCGTGATTCGGACCCCAAACCTCGGGATTTAAAGGCAGCGCTCTAGCCAATTCATCCCAAGAAGATCTTCCCTTACTCAACCAGTTAGATTACTTTTATATCACCATGTATACAACAAGACATTCAAACAAGGTATTCTCACAAATAATTAAGATTTTTAAATTACATGTGATATCCACATAAATTTATTCAAAATCCAAAGAGGTTATTGTCATTTTGTTATCAAAATCTAGTTTAATCCCACCATACATTCATGTGTATGTCTCAAGTGGTTGTCTTATGTCATATATCTAACTTCATGTGGTCAATCATTAATGAAAATGATATAGTGAAATACTA